TGAGGTGTGGCTTTGAAGATTTCCTGGACATCCCTTCTCATGTCTAACAAAAAGAGAGGGAGAGAGAAATAATATTTAATGACAAAATAATTTGCCACAAAAACAAACACAAAATTTAGGCACTTGGTTGTAGCTAATTTCAAAAAATTATGAGCAACAAACACAAAATCTTAGGCTCTAAAAATTAAAGCAGCATTCACATACAAAGCAAATTACTATAACACAGGCAAAGGATTAATAAATAAATGTAATATAAGTGCTTACCCAGTTGCTCAAGCATCTTGTCACACTCATCCAATATAAAATGCTTCACATTGTGAAGGTTGAGCGTCTTCTGTCTCACCAGAGCCAGGATGCGACCAGGAGTACCAACCACTATGTGTGGGCAGTTAGTCTTGAGAGTCTCCTCATCTTTCATGACACTAATGCCGCCAAAGAACACCGAGGTCTTGACTCCATCAAAATACTTGGAGAATCGTTCATACTCCTTGTATATTTGATAGGCCAATTCCCTATAGAAAAAAAGGACAATGCATTAAATATAAGAAATAAAATGTAAAAATAAAATATTCCTAACAGTCAAAAATGGCACTATGTTAAATAAAATATTCCTAACCACACACTTAAATAAAATTATGATCATTCATTACCTGGCATGGCACATAACAAGAACAGAGACTTGTCCCTCAACTATCTCCAGTTGCTGAAGCGTTGCTATGACAAAGACAGCAGTCTTGCCCATACCTGATTTTGCTTGACAGATGACGTCCATGCCTAAAATAGCCTGAGGAATACACTCGTGTTGCACTATAAAAAGAAGAAATGAAAAAGATCAACATGACATCATACTACATCAATAAGATATTTAACTGTACATGAGAAAAATATAATTTAGTAGTGTCACTAGCATGGTTTCTCTCTCCAATTAATGCCCACTAGGAGCTATGGAAGGAACAGGAATATGCTATTGCCTGCTCAGCTTATCTTAGGTAAGACAGCGGCAGTAGTTTAAAAGATTAATTAATTAATTAATTGATTAATTAAAATTAATTAATGAGCATTAATTTTTATTAAAAATGAATAATGAAACAGGAAATGAGGTTTTGCGAATTAATTTTTATTAAAAATGAATAATAAAACAGGAAGTGAACTGCTGCTAATTAATTTTTATTAAAAATAAATTATGAAACAGGAAGTGAGCTGCTGCTAATTAATTTTTATTAAAAATGAATTATGAAACAGGAAGTAAGCTGCTGCTAATTAATTTTTATTAAAAATATTTATTAAATGCATTAATACATAAAAGTGGCACTATGCTGAATAAAAAATAATGATTCCTCACCCCACACTCAAATAAAAATAATTAAGATCAATAAATAGTATTCATTCACTTCTCTTACCTGGCATGGCACGTTACAAGAACAAAGACTTGTCAGTCTATATGGTTCCTCAGGCCTCTTAGCTGCTGACCACGCCTTCTTTGCCTGGGAGCTACCGAATGACATCATTACTTTCTCAAGACCCTCAGAATACTCTTCCTTGGATATGGACTTACGCTTGGAGGGATTAGGATCAGTCACTGGAGTATCAGTTTTGCTTGTAGAGATCAAGCACATAAAGAGACATGTATCAACTGTTTGCCTGTTATGCATGTACATGTACAAATTAATAGGGAGGGGCCATAATTCAAAATAATTTGCAATTGGCATGGCCTTAAACTTCTACATAGCATAAAGACATTAATGTGCATCAGAAAATGTAACAAAAATTTGGGATGATTTTGGAACCATTTTTTGGAAAAAACCATGGTCTATATATAGTCCATGGTTTGGGCATTTTTTAGAAATTGGCACATTTTAAAAAATGGCCGTAACTCAAAAAGCTGAAGTCGGAATCAGCTCAAACTTGCTATGTAGCATAAGTACATCAATATGTATCAGGAAATGTAATAAAAATAGTGGGTGATTTCGGAGCCACTTTTTGGAAAAAACCATGGGCTATAGCCTTGGGTATTTTTCAGAAATTGACTCATTTTTAAAAATGGCCCTAACTTAAAAAGTTGAAGTCGGAATGAGCTCAAACTTGTTATGTAGCATAAGTACATCAATATGCATCAGAAAACATAATAAAAATTAGAGGTGACTTCGGAGCCATTTTTTGGAAAAAACCATAGGCCTGTATAGAATATACAATCATTAATAGATACATGTATTGTACTGATGGCTGGCTACAGAGTCTACCATACCTTTGATATAAGGTGTCATATGAAATATATCAGTATTATGTAACTCCACAGTACCAGTCTCTTTATTAAGAACACCAATCATATACCTACATATAAGTATTAATTACTAAATTATATCATTTTGTAACTCACAGAGTCTTAATTTAAAAGATTATTAATAGAGTTAATTAAAAGCTGGTAAAATCTAAGCGCGGCTACTAATTACGCATAAAAACACTAAAGGTCTTTTCACACTAACACAGTTTTAAAGCTCTTTGATGCACTTTGTTGATACAATCCACCTCTGGAGGTGAAATGAGAGTGATGTGCATTAATTGGAAACTACCCTAGTGTGAATACAATTAATACATATCACTGTACATTACTTTTGCCAGTGTGAAAAGATCTTTAATTAAATAGTATCGTCATATCACTTGCTGAAAGGGGTGTGGCAAAATTATAAATGATGTCATCTCTCACTTTCTAAAAGGGAAAGTGTTCATGGTTCCCTCAGTCTCGTAATTGGTACCAATGTACGTCATGTGGTCCGTCTTTGTAACCAGTGTCCTCCTCTTCATACCTTTCTCTTGGTAAAGGGAATGCTTTGCTTTAACATCTGAACTGGAATCAAGTCGACCATTAGAGAATGACACTATAGAGACATGTAGATTGCCTAAATGTGTAGAAAATATAGGCTCACACAAAGGAATGGCGTCCCTCTGAGAGTTTGTCTCTTGAATAATTATCTCCATCATAAATTATTGCCTGTTATATTATAGTCATGCATTCCTCCATCTTTTTAAATCATAGTCTACACACGTGATCACACGTGACTTTCATTTGTTTTGAACATTGAATTCAATTTATAATATCTAGATTCGAAGGGGTGGAAAAGCGAAATGGCACATAGGTCATATCACTCTTGGTCATATGAATCCAGAGATAATAGAACTGGAAGCATACAGGAAAGTGAGCAGAAGAGGCCGAGGAAGAGGCTTTCAAAAAACGTCCCGTGCTGTCTTTTTATTTTGTTCATTCTCCTTGCCTTCTCGACTTCTGCTTCTCTCTTAACGTTCAGTGCTTTCCCAGAATTTAAAACAAAAAGTAAGCAGGTAGACTTAGGAGACATCTCTGAAGGTCTAAACAGCTTTGAAGTAATTGCAATAGATAACAATGTGTCAACAGTTGAACTAACACTGATTCCGCCACCTCATGATGATGTCCAAGTGAACATTTTGACTTCTTCAACTTTGCCACCCTTATCTTTTACCACTTTAAAGGAAAATCTTCAGATTTCACCATTAACAAAAGGGCACTTTCGGACCGGCTGTAATATTCTGTCATTTGATCAGCCAATTTACCTTCAACGTGGTTCTTCATTGAAGTATAATATTACCAGTTCTAATCATGAGGTAATTAATCAATTATGTTACTTTAGTAATACCTCTGATTACATAACATTTTTGGTCGATTATACATTTAAATATGTCTCCAAATTTTGTTTCAATGTTTCTGGTAATGCTATTATTGACATTACTATAAATGATGCCTCTCCATATTATGTTGCAATCGATATTGGTGACAATACTAACATTTCTCTTGATATAACAGCAATTCGCTTTTATTACAACACCACAATGCTGCAGGACTTATCATCACAATGTTCATTAAATGAAAGCTTCAATTTTTCATGCATCATAAAGATTTGTGATGGATATCTGTGTGACCCCACCAAAAACAGATACGTGATTGTTGAAACCTCTCATCACAATATAGTGCTGAAATATGATGCTCACAGTACATTTTATTTCAAACCAACAGTTCGTCTTATACTTTTCTCATGCGCCGTGTTTCTCGAATTGATTGCTGTTGCTATAGCTTTGACAATGGTTTACAAATTATGTAAGAAAAGAGGTATGCAATTTTTATCCTTCATTTATATTATTGGCTATTTTTAGGACCACAAACTGAGCCAAAATGTACCTGTAAAGGTAAGGCTACTTCAACAAGATTCATAGTTTCACATTTCATAGGGCAAGCCTGATGTGGGTGGGTGGGTTTGTTTATTTTCATATCACCTGTGTATAATTAATGCAAAACTGTAATTTTCCACATGTAAACTAGTTTATTTCTAAATTGGTTACAGACCGCTTTAAAGGGCCTATAGTGTAAATGTGGCTCTAATTAACTTCCACTATATTTTGTTATTCTATACTAGGTGTAATAATTGCTGTTATGGTAATGCTGTTTCTAATGAGCCTTCATTTAATAGCAATAGCCTTTGCAACCATTAATACCTATGACTGGTTAGTCAGTAGTACCAGGCTGGTTGGAAACAAGTATCCAGTACTCTTAATGAACTCTCAAAGGTTTAATAAGTCAGTTGCAAATGTTGAGATCACCTTGTCATTTCCCAGTGCTGATTCAGTTTCTGTGTATAAAGTTCCTTGTAATAGTTTAAGAGCTTCTTCCGCAAGATTGGGTCCCAAACATGTGGTTACAAATCTACTTACAAATAAAATTTCACGTACTGGCTTTAACTTTGACAATATTCCTTTAAATTTAGCACCTGGATCTACAGTTACTTACAGCATTGCAAACACATTGCCTCTTGACTCAAGTTCATGTATTTCCCTTGTCTTTATAAATTCAGCTGAAGCATATGATGAGTTTCTTTACATACAAACCAATTTTACAAACTATATATTTCGTTCAGATTGTTTGACAAATGGTAATACTACTGTTATAAGCTTCCCAGTCAAGGATGAGCAGAATGATTATTACGTTGGCATTGAAAGCAATATTAGCAATGCCAATACTGACATCATCACTGTTAGTGCTGAGGTTTCTGTGGTTCAGGTTTACTATAATTTGTCAAATGCAGAAGTATACACCAGCCTGTCGGTAAATAGGACATCCTGCATTGTTAGGATGTGTGAAACTATTCTTTGTCTTGACCCACACCATGTGTGCGTACTTGTTAATTCAACGAGTTTTAACTTTATTTCTTATTCCAGTCATCCTGATATTACTACTATTACATCTACATCTCGTGTTTTTGGTTTTCTGGCCATTATTTGTGCTTTCTTCTTAACCTTGTTCATATCTTCTGTTTCCTTTGGCTATTGTATTAAGAAAAAAGATGCAGTCAGACGAAAAATTTTGTCCAACAGAAGAGGGAGCATTTTTCTAAGTATGTAAATTTAATTTAAACATAATTGTAATGCTATTTGTGTATTTTAGGTATTTTTATTGGCATCATGATATTTGAAGGCGTATTTATTCCTATTATTCTTTCTTACTCAATCAAATTCTATGGGAAAACATGGATAAACAACACTAAAGATTTTGTTTTAGTTAATTTAGATCAGACAGGCTTCATTAAGTGGGTTAATACACATGATATTGCTTTTTCAGTAGAAACTGACTCAGCAAATTCTTCTGACATTAGTTTGTACACTGTTAGCCGTAGCGAAGCTGTTCCTATTCCCTTGGCGAATAAAAGTAAAATTGAATGTAAAAATTTCAGTAGTTCCTGTGTACTCAATGAGTCCATCTACTTAGTGAAAGCTGAGGAGAACTATGTTAATTACAATATATCATTATTCTCAAATATTAGTGGCCTTCCATTTCGTGTTTCAACCTTCGATGACTATGAGCAATATGAAAATTTTTTTACAAAAAAGCCTTATACTCCATTGCAAAGTTCTTTGTTTTATGGCAATGAAACCTTCAATTTTAATTTTTCGAATATTGACATGAAACAAAAAGCTGCCTACTATCACTTTGTACTGCACCCTGCATTTCAGGCTGATGTATACACTCACACCAAGTACTATTATACTAATAGTTCAGTCCAAATGGAAAGCAGTATGAGCCATTATAAATTGAACAAAACTTACAGACCTCATTGTAATATAACAAAGAATTCTACTTCAATTTGCCGCAGCTCCATAAAAGACAATATCCGTGTAGTGGCAAGAGCAAATATGTTGACAAAACCAGTTCTTCTTGTTGCAACAACAACAAATGTACCATTGGCAGTATTTGTAGCTGTTGTACCTGCACTAGTTATTATCTTTGTTGTACTCGTTATTATTGTCTTTGCATTCATAGTTCGGTGGAAGTCTAGTAAAGGATACCAACCATTACCAACAAGAAGTTTTAAAGGTACTAGATTCATAATCATAGCTATTTTTCATACAATCCATTATTTTGCTCAAAATATGGTGTTAATTTTAAATTTAGATGGTAAATTACCAGAAGGTCAATCTACAAGACAAGATGATTCTGAAGAGCAACCAGGTAGACTATTTATAAAATCAATTCCACCATTAATATATGCATGGACAGCCAAATTAGCAACCAAAATTTTAATTCTATAGGTAGTGAACCTGAACTAGCACGAGAAGGTCAATTAGCAAGAGACAGTCAGCAAGCAGGTATATTATAATACTATGCACAGTTTTTGCTTAGCAGATTCAGCTTAATTTTGCTCCTATGATTTATGATTCCAATTAAACTTGTGGTTAAATGTTATTATGATTACCACAGATGAATTAGCAACAGATGATAAATCAGCAAAAATGGATGATGGTTCGGCAAAAAAGGATGATGAATTAGCAAAAAAGGATGATGAATTAGCAAAAAAGGATGATCAAACAAGTACTTTAATTACAGCGTATAGTTCTTATTTATGCAATCTGAATGCTTAAACATAATTTGTTCAAAATTTAATTTGATTGAAGCATTATATTCTTTATTATTAAAGTAGCATGAATAAAATGCAGTTTATTTCAGATTACATAAACATAACAATAATACCATTATATTTAATTGGATGACTTTTTAGATAAACCTGAAGGTGTTGCTGGAACAGAGTCATTTTTCATTCAAAATTATGCACAATTACTAAACTGGGAAGAATATGGTTTGAGGATAACAGTACCAGAAGGAGCTGTTCCACCTTCTGAAACCATTGAAGTATCCATTACTGCTCTTGTTGGTGGAGAGTTTATATTACCAGAGGATTCTGAGCTAGTCAGTGTTGTGTACACTATAACTGTCTCCAAGCCTCTACTGAAACCAGTTCTGCTAGAGATACAGCATTGTGTTTCAATTGAAACACCATCTCATGCAAATCACCTCAGCTTTGTTGCTTCCTCTAATGATCACTGTCGATTTGAATTTCAAACAGTAGATAAAGGAAGTTTTCCAGTTGGTGAGCGGTATGGCAGTATATATATCTCTAAATTTTCTTCATTGGGCATTATCTATAAAAAGATTAAGGGTTGGGTTTTACGCTACTCACATCGAAGCGTAACTCCTCAACCTATAGGATCTGATAGCTC